CCCCCCCCCCACCCCCCCACCCCATTGACGTACATCTCACACTACCTTGCATGGACACTTAGATAAATTCATTCGCAAAATGAATCGTGGGTTATTATCGTTCTCTCCGCTTTGACGCGCTATTGCACGTTTCAAAATAGATTCAAAGCGTTCCATCTTCTAAATATGGATAATTATTCAGGATCGTTTTCCACATTTTCTATGAAAGGTATGACATTGAAATCGCAACCTATTCGGAGCGTTCCAAAATCAAAATGTTTAGCTGGGGCATCTTCGGAACTACTGTTCACATTGCACAAATGTGTTCATTTTTCAGTATCTCACATTTTCAATTCAAATGTTACAATTTCAACTAATTCTTCGTCATTTCTTAACCAATTCCAACCATTCCAACTTGAAATTTATTTTTCCACATACCCGCAGCTACTAAGACAAAAACGGGGTATGTAAAGTATCATCTATTTCTGTGTATTGAAGGTATTTTGAAATCCAAAGTACCTGGAAAAAAAAAACCAAACTTGCAAGTGCAGGAAGAATATGCAAGCTCCACGCGGGAAGACCATGGCCCAGATTCAAACCCAGAACCTTAGTGCTGTGAGGCAGACATGCCAACCACTCGCCCAATGAGCCGAACTTCAAAGCAGCAGTGTGCCACGATTGGGTTATCTTTGTTTCTGTGGAGTCGGATTGAGCCGGGCTTGTGGTCCAGCAGCACAATTTCAAAGTCTTTTTAAAGTGAGAGAACGCCACGTCGTATCTTCACAAATAACTTGTGAGCAACAACCTGCATCATCAGCTGGACGCATCTCAGAAAGTAAGTTGACAGTTCAGCAATGGCCTTTGCCGGCACGCTCAGGTGCCTTATTTCTTTGTGCGGGGAGTGGGGAAGACGAGCGGAATCCTGCGAGAGCCGACTGGAAATATATTAATTGACTTGCTGCCGCTTCCAGTCAGGTGTAAAGCGCGTTGGTGGGGATACGTCTGGCGAGGCCTTCTGGGAAATTCCCTCACAGCACCGAGCGGACTTGCAGCGGAAGCCTCACCTAACCTTGGCCTCTCAGTGCTGAGGCGAGCAGACGAGGGGGGGCTGGCGTAAAGGTCTTAATCGAATGCTGAAACATTGATTCACGCTCGGATGTCCCGCAGCCATTAAGATAATTGTGTGATCACTTGATAACATTCTTCTCCGGCGGCTCAAGTAACTTGACTACCTCCCTTGTCTCATTGCTTCCACCGCTATCGCCCGCCGTGCTCAGTACTCACCTACAGTATAACCGGATTAGACGCGTTGAAAAAAGCCCCCGCAAAGTGAATTCAAAGCATTCCCAAAGACTTTGAAAACCACTTGGATGAAGCGCACAAATGTGCGAACAAATGGGCCTGATCTTTGCATCTTAACCGTCTGTATTAGAGGTGGTGGTCTCGAGTCACATGACGTGACTTGACTCCGACTTTAGTGGGCAATGGAAGGACTTGGGACTTGACTAAAACCCTTTGACAGTATTTCAAATGATAACTGATGTCGAGTCTGTCAAAGTTACTCACATACAAGTGCAAAAAAGAACCTTGCATCTTTTCTTATTGCCACTCGGAAGTTTGTTGTCAAACTAAACATAAAACAGAGAGGACTACATGTTGTGTTCCCAATAAAATACGGATCACAATAATATTGAATATGCTGTTTATATTTAATAATGATTTTGATGGGCAGACTTTACGACCATGTTTGCATGATGGTCATGATGGTGGTCCCTGCAGGTATTTTTTTTAGGTGGTAATTGGAGGAAAATGTTTGAGAACCACTGTTTTATAAAATAAAAATAAAAATCCCTTGCCTTTAATTTTGCTATGATGTGAAATTCTATCGACAAAATCTGTTTCCGAGAAAAGATGAAGTGACAACAGAGGGGCTAACGGCAGCAGTTGAAAAGAACCAAATAAAGAAAGAAAGAAATCAAATCCCTCCGAAGAAAAGATCCTCAAAGAACCTTTGCAAGCCCCGGTGAGCTTTGGCGGACAAAGACGAACACCCTGAAAGAGACCTTTTGAACCAGTGAGGCTGGGTTATCGCCCATGTTGGCTATTAGTCTTTGTCAGCACATTACAACAAAACGACTAGCCAATGTGTGTGTAAACTGGTTGCAGGCACAAGATGAGGGGGGAAAAGGCATGGAACGCAGGAAGGAGTGGCGGCAGGGAGGGGTGGGGGCTCATTTTAACATGGCGCAGAGCTTCATTTCTCACAGTGGCAGAGCGCAAGGAGAAAAATAGGCTTGCAAAGGTGCGTTATTAAATCAACACCTTTTTTTTCTGTGTCAAAATGGATTTGTAGGAAAGGATGGAAAGGAGGGGGGCGCTGTTTCAATCCTTTGCATATTGCATATACACAGTGATCCGCCTGTCAAATCGTCGAACTGACTGAACATGAACCTTTTAGACTGCGGCGCTGATCACAAATAACTGATGAGAAGACCATTCTATTCATCACGTGACACACACACTGCGTAGGGGTGAACCCGTGCGAGACTAAATATGCAGTGGATGTTTTAGACAGCGGCACATTTGTATTCATTGTGTTTACTTGTATCGTGCAAGTTGGCGCTTGTTCCGAAAAACTGGCGGAGAGGCGCGGCAAAGAGCCAAACGACTTTACCTTTCTCTCGGGGGACTTGGTAGCAAAAACGGGCATGTGACAGGCCAGAAGGGGACACCAAAACGGGGCTGTCGGCTTGCCCTCGTGCTCCTCGTACAGCCAGCCGGGCGAATTTTCCTCGCCTGAAAAAGGCAAAGAAATAGACAGAATGAGTTAAACGAGACCTTTTTTCACACGTAACGAAGCAAGGGCCAAGTTGAGATGCTTCAAGCGCCTTTCTGAATTCAATCCAAGGGGCGGACGGAAAAAAAAAAATAGAAAATTAAGTAGAAGACGATGACGAAACAAGCTTCCTTTCTGATTCAATCTAATGACAGACAGGAAAAACAACAGTTTAACGTACGAACAATACGAAGAAGAAACAGAAGAAGAATACAAGACAAAGCAGAAGATGTAATATTCAAGTTTCTGGTGATCATTTTTCAAAGCACAACTCAAATAATTTGAACGTTGCCTTTCATATGACACTTTCGCAGGGCCACAGCCCACCTGGCTTCCTGATACAAGCCCCCCCCCCCACACACACACACACGGGGCCAGAGAAAACAGGACCAGAATGGTTTAAAACATTTGTTTAGCCTTCTGCACCCGCTGACACATTTCAGAATGGACAGGGGTTAAAAACAGGACGACGACGCAACTGCTTCACACGTTTGTCGTTATAGCCCCGTGGAAAATCCTCCATTGTAGCTCACCTGTCCTCCACTGGGGGCTTTGTCTGTCCGGACGGTAATTTCTGTTGGGCAGGCGACCTCGATTGGGTCGAAATCAATCAGAATCACTCAGTCATCATGACAGCGTAGCAGAACGATGACATTCGAGAAGTCTCCTAAAAGTTTATTGCACATGATTTTGTTTTCAATGGCCGTGTTATGTGATTTTGGCATGTCCCGCGCGTAGAACGATCCACTCGTTTTGTTTTCGACAGACACCTTTCGAACCGCGCAGCACACGCCGTCGTCCTGTTGTGGCGTCGCAGCTCGCGAGACAAGAGGAAGGCGGCGGCGCTGGCGGCGGAAATGAGTGAAGACAAATTAGCCTTGACCTTCAGTCTTCCCAACCTGGTAATGATGATGAATAACAGTAAACAACATTAACGAGCCCTCACATAGCGGCATGTGTCCCGTAGACACACAATGTAGGACTTTTTTTTTTTTTTTTTTTTAAGCATTACAAAACTACTTCAACTTCTGAAGAAGAGAGGCCAGCTTGACACTCTTCTACTGCGCCGCGTCTTTGTCAAACTGAAATAGGCAGAGGGGGAGAAAAAAAAAGAACACAAAAGAGATTTTTGCTCACTTGGCCTTTAGATTGTATATTGTGAAGAACTAGCAGGCGACATTATGGAATTGAATCATCGATGCTATTTCTCGTCGACGTTTGCTTTGCAAGGACAAATGCGCAGACCGATGACACGCACGCACTTCATTGTGATGAGCATGGATTTGCCATGAATAGGCCATCATGTCAGCTGCCTGGTGGTAATTGCAGGACACTTCTGTGACCGGCCGTGTCTGCAGAGAGATAACCACCAATCAGCAAGTGTGCAATGCAATTATAATTGAATGGATGCATTATTTAATGTTAGTCGCATGAATATTTCAAAGATGGAAGAGTGTATCCAAAGGACACACGGCTAACCTTTAGACACTGACCCAAGAATCAGCATTTTCTCGATTAGGGACAAACACACTTTGGCCTTAATTGAACAAAATGCCCGCAATTAACTTAATGTGGAATTTGTCCGCGAAAGTATCGTCAAAGTCAAGGTTACGCGCACACGCGCACATCCACACGCACACGCACTAAGCATCTCGCCCGTGAGCCACGACAAAGACTCCAATAACGCACTTCCATGGTACACCGTGCAATTCTAATTCAATGTCTTGTTTTTTCCGATTCTTTTTTTTTCCCGACATTTAGGCTGCTCCTGCGCTGCGACTTGAATATATTGAACTCAGCGCGCGGACTGGCACGTGAAATCCCCGTTCTTGAATAGAGTTTACTTTCTGTGCGTTACCGCCGACTTCTTTCCACCAGCAGCAACGTACTAAAAGTGTTTTGCCAAAAAGACAGAAGAAGAAATGGAAGGCGGAAAAGTAATCACCACGGTAACTACTGTGTGACGTATGTTAGCTGCTACCGCTTGCATGTGGCCATGACAAGGATTTACAGGGTCCAATGTTTCTCAACTCAACTCAACTGAATTTATAGAGCACTTGAAAACACCACGTCCTTCACTAGACATACACAAGAACCGATGCTGTGCATTGAAGTGTTTGTGTTTCTTCTGCGCATTCATTGTGGAAGGTGACGGCCATCTTCTCAGCTTCAAGTGGATGTGGCAGAAAACTGAGCGGCGAGGCAGAATATTAACTGACAAGATCGAGCGCCTTCCCGGCTATCCGATGGCGAGCGTGCCTCCGGTTGGAGTCTTGCGCTGATAAAGATTAATTTGCAGAGCACGGTCTTTCGTCAGTACCCCCCCGTTTCAAACACTCCCCCCCTACCTCCACCCCAGCCCGCCAGGTGACACGAAGGCCAAAGATACGGACTAATTAAATACACCAATGCAATTGATATTTAAGCATGGATCAATGCAAGTGCAGGATCTGTTAATTAAATCCTTGATCATGTTTACTCATCATAAACATTTCCCACATTTGAGCGTGGCAAGATAAGGGGTGGGGGAATGGGGGCTATATATAGGGAAGGCGTGTGTGTGTGTGTGTGTGTGTGTGTGTGTGTGTGTGTGTGTGTGTGTGTGTGTGAGATAATCGCAGCCGTTTGACAGACTAATTTATGGGCTGTTCAAACATCCTTCAAACGCACGACCACTGAAAGCTTCTTTGTTTTGCTGCCGATGATGCTTGGATGGATGAAAAGTTGAAGAAAAAAAAAAAAGAAAACGTAGAAAAATGAGTTGATTCATCGAGCAGATAACAGCTCAAAAGAGGACAGATAAGCGCTACGTGTGAGGTTAAGCTGATGTTGTTTAAACCCGTGCGGTCGCCATGGAAACCTGGCAATCTGAATCTGGGGCGCTGGTGAAAAGTACAGGTAGAAGCCTTGAAGGCAGCGCAGTCGTGGATTTGGTGGGCGTGGGCATGGGGCAGGTTAACATGGAGCGGATTAACGAGGAGTGTGTTGAATTTGTATTTACGTGTGTGTGTGCGTGCGAAAAGCACGGCTCATCTATTTTAGAGGTTCTCTACAAGTTTTTGGAAACAGGGATGCTTTTCAGGAGGGACATTTTGCATCATCCATACTGCTCACCGGTCCGATTCTTTATCAAGTGGAAGGGAATCCGACAATACAAAGGATGTCTGATTATGATTAATATAACTGTTAGATTAAGCATGGGTTGATTGTCTATGCCTGGAAAGTGAGCCACGAGGATGACGTCATCGGACGGCAACTCTTGTGTTACCATCTCAGATGCCACGCAACACATCAAGATAACCTGATGAACGGCAGGAGGTGACATCATAGGGTAGTGCCAAAAGACACGTCTTCACTCGTTTGCGATGCAGCTGAGAAGGGGAATCGTCTAGCGAGCAAATAAAAGATAACTCGAAATCAAATTACTGGGATATCCTTCATCAAACGGAACTGGTTTGAGATTACCAGCCCGTGTCAGACTGCAAGGGCATCTACTGTATTTTGTCAGGATACAGACAGCTGTATTTTTCCAAGACCAAGTCGTAATATGATATTAAAGTCATAGGTGGCCAAAATAATACATTTGAAAAATAGAACTGTGCTCCCAATATATATGCCACCTTTTACTCGGGTAACGACTGACACCTTTATTCTTGGAAAAAAAAAAAAATGGCACTATATTCTCCAAATATATACGCCTTTTGTTTTGCAAAAAAAAAAAAAAAGAAGAAAAAAATACTTCCTATATTCTTGCAGGGATTTGTGTGATCACAGTTCTCGCTCATATCAGATCTTTTAATTGGCCCAAAGCTTTGGTATGGAGAATTTTAGAGTTACTATTCACCAGGAGGGATGCTTGAGCACATTAAGGCAGCCGCGGGCGAGCACCCCCCGCTTGCCCTTTCTGTTCCCTGCAGTGGGGCTGATTGCATGTCTTAATCATCCCAACAGCCCCCGTCTCCTGTTTCCCCTCCCATCATGCATCGGCCTCGCCGCCGTCTGAGACCTAGACCCCAACTCGACGGGGAAGCGATTAATTCCGCAAGTGGCAAAGCCTATTAATTAGGCAACGCCTCAGGCTAGTTCATAAAGACCGCTGGCAAACGGCGGTGGTGCAGTGCGTCAAAGACGTTCAGTCAATTTACACCACAATGCAAGGAAAGCTTTGATTTATTTTCCCCATATTCTGACTAAATACTGAAGTGCACTTAGCAAATGCACAGTCCTGCTTTGAGGAAAAAAAAAAGGAACTAACATTATGCAGGGTTTCAACAGAAAAAAAAAAAAGGAAAGAACATTTTGCAGGGTTTCAACATTCAATTCAGTGATTCTGTTGCATACCACTAGAGGGAGCAAGCGGACCACATATTGAGAATCACTACAGTAATCAAATATGAATGGACTTGTTTCGACTACAATTCACCCAAAATTAGCTCAAATAAGAAGCAGGTATCCTTGACAGATAAGCACGGCTAAACTGTTTTTTTTTCTCCATGCCATCCAACGTGGGTAGAACAAAGTTTGCCACTCATGTGGAAGATTCAACTAAAATAGCCAAGACGACAGGCTGTAACTTTTTGTAATTAAACAGTCATGACGTTGGGATGGGGCGTAACATCGTTAAACGGCAATTTAGCCCCAAGTCTGCCGCAGGGGGTGCAGCAATCTGCTGCTAATCGCCTGCAGCGCTGATCAAACCTTTGACCACAGATTCCTAATCGGCAATGTTCTGCCAATCAAAATGTGTCAGTGATGAAAATCAACCACAAAGTTTTGAGGATCGTTTTCAGCGTCTGCTAAAAAAAAAAATAAATTAAAATAATAATAACTAAACAAATATGTCACAGAGTAGTCGAAGGCCGAATAACTGACGGTGGCGAGGAAACCCCCCTGTGAGGGCGCACCATCCGTGAAATTAAAGCAACAACTCCCTGGTTGTAATTACATTTGCTTAAATGGGAAGGCAACTTGTGGGCGGAAAACAATTAACGCAATGTTGCCAAGCTGACCATGACGGTGGTGATCAACTTCCAAATGGACCTGCGGTGGGAACCCCGAGTGCCTGTTCTCATTTCCTCAAAACTGTCACAAAAACGGACTTCAAGGGGTCGGTCGGTGATTCCCCATTCCAATTTCTTGCCGCTTCCACCCAGTCCAAACTACAGCCACAAATGTGTCAACTTTCACGTCGCGACATAGCCTCCCACGATCGCATAATTCAAATGAGTGCGATGCACAAAATACAGGATTAGTCATTCGGCGACGACTGCTTTCAATGCAACCATCTGGGAGAGTGAGCGTAAGGTGTTCAACGTAGTGATGGCAAATTGAAGCTTCATGAAACACTTGTGATATTTTTTGACTCCTCCACATGGTGCGCTCGGTTTCATTATAAAGGTTATTGCAATGGGCACATCTTAAAATTACATTGCATCTTTAAACCAAGAGCGCCTTATAGAAGAGTCAAAAACTATCACAGGTGCTTCATGAAGCTTCAGTTGTCCATCAATAGTTCAACATCACATTCCCAGTTCTTGCCTCGCAAAACACCTTACACCACATCGAGTGTAACATCTCAAATAGATGGCAAGAGGTGACAAATTGTTTTTCAATTTTAGTGCTGTTTTTAAAAAAATGTCTTAATCATTTATTTTTTGGGATTAATTGATGAATCATATTGAAATAAAAATATTCTATCCAAATTTCAATCCCTTTGTTCCACAAAACATCATTTCAAAGTTCAGAAAATGCACAAACGTAATATGAGTTACTTGCGTGTAGCATGTGCAGTATAAAGAAAAGTGCCAGTGGAGAACTACACTGCATGAAGGCTGTTCCAGGACGAGATCTTTTAAGTTACATTTCGGCTGCCAACACGCAGCGCCCCCCCCCCCCAAAAAAAATAGCCAGGTCAACTTCACTTTGTGTTTCTAATTTACCACAAAGTAATAATCTCTGCTTTGTAACTTGGCTGTGACCTTTTACTTTATGTTGGGATTGTACCTTGATATATATATATTTTTTTTTAATCTTTTCATTGACTCTTGTTTTTCACAAGTATTTCTTTAGCCCCGTGTGGATTTAGCTGCTCGATGAACGGTGCTGTCAAACTCAACTTGTCTCGCCTTACTGAGTGACATTGAAGTTTAAAAGCTGCTGATGGCACAATATAAAAAACTTATTTTATTGTCATTTTATGAAAGGCATCTGCTCTTGTATTTTTTTTATTTTTTTTTTTATTTCATGACCAGAAGGTCGTGCGGCACGCTTGACTACTGGTGACCGCGTCCATCTCAGGCAGTATGGAGGGTGTTCTCTGGGTTGGATATGTGGGTCGGAAAATGGATGTATAAAGAACGATATCATGAACTTTATTATCGTAAGATTACAACTTTTCATCCTAACAAAATACATCTCAGTTATGAAAAGTACTCTGCTTTAACTTTTTTGTTGAAAACGATCACTTTTCATCTCTTCACCTTTTTTTCTTTATTGAAATGTGATTTTTATTTTAACTTTTTTTTTCCCCCCTTAGACTTGGGTAACTTTTTTTTTTTTTAATTCGCGCGGTATTGAAGGTGGAGGAATAGTGGTTACGTTGAATTGATATCATAAAATGATGACTATAATACATGGGAGTACAAGCAGCTAATCCATGGATAACTAAAATTATTTTGGCACTGCTGTGCCGTCATTTGACATTATTCTGACATTACTTTGGCTCCGACTATCACCCGTACCCACACGCCGCACCGACGCCAGCGCCCCGCTCGAGCCGCCTGCTGCGCGCCTGATAAAAAGGTGCGAGCCGCGGGGAGAGGGGATTGCGAGCCGCCTGAGCGCTCCACCGGAGTGCCTGCAGATGTGCCGCGGTGAGTCAAGAGCCCGCGGCTGCCATCCAAGGTTGACGTTGCGCACTAAAGGGATGGCAGCTCGGCGCCCACAGATCGCTTTGCCAACAAACGCTTCACACGCACATCAACGGATAAAGAATGCAACCTTTCTTGGCCCTCTCTTGCTTTTCGCCAAACCGGACCTAATTCCTTAAAATGCACACAAATACCTTCAGCTCAGTGCTGGCGTGGCTGTGCGAAGAGGCAACGGAGAAATGCAAACCGCAAGCAAACACTCATGCACGAGCAAGAGAGTCAAAAGATGTGGTGTTCAAAAAACAAAAACTAACAAACAAAAAAAGTCTAACTGTTGGGACTTTTTTTATGGGGATGGCTGTGGCTGACTTATTTATCGTCATTAGGCCACATCATATGAATTATTCTTCTTTTGGTTGTTGGATTTGTATTTACGTTTTTGTGTGTGTGTGTGTGTGTGTGTGTGTGTGTGTGTGTGTGTGTGTGTGTGTGTGTGTGTGTGTGTGTGTTCTCTTCTTACGTTGCGCAATCTTGGCCAAGTGCAGCCGGTTGACCCAGGAGATCTTGCTGAGCGGGTTTGGCGTGTTGAAGACCACCATGAAGCTGACGGGACGACCGGACCTTCAGGAGCACAAAAAAAAAAAAAAAAAGAAAAAAAAGGTTTGTTGAGTGACATTGGTACAGTCGATATGTTGGATTCATTTTTAGTCACATTTGGAAGAGACCTGATTCCCACGTGCTAAATGTCACTAAATGCAATTGAATGTTGTGACAGTAAATCCAGCCTGTACGCACGAGCAAATCTCACTTTCGATGACAGGGAAGATGCTTTTATAACGCCTTGTCAAGGCTTTGGCTTGTTTATTGGGGGCCTCGTTGCCTCTGGCATATTTAAAACAAGTTGGCGTGGCTTCTGACTGCCAAATGATTAGAGCATGACCCCGCCGGGTCTTTAAATACCTCCAGCGGTGGCTTTGAGATCACACGTTAAGTGTGCAGTCTGAAGAAAAAGGCTTCGGGACATATCCAAGTAAAGGGGGCGGGGGGGCACTTGATTGATTGGACAACATATTGACAATTTGGATTGGAGATCGGGGGAGACTAAAGACTTTTGATTCCTGACATTCCTTCCTCTAATCTTATGACATCTACAGGCAATTATCAACCCTTTTCAATTACTGGCCAATTTTCACTTTTCACAGGAGAGCTCAGTTCCTACCTACCCAGAGTTTGCAGTAGTTTTTACCGTTTTTAACTAAAGGGATTGAATCAGCACTACACCAGTAAATGTTGTTGATGAATAAGACAAATTTGAAACGATCTGTGGAAGAACAAGTTCAAGAAACCAAACTTCAGGCTGATACAAAAGTTGGTGCAGATAATCGTTACACCATTTTTTAAGTGACCAGTAACTGTAGTACAACTTTAGGTGTGCAATCATACAGAAAGTCCTTGAGCGCTTTAAAGTTTCTGGTGCTGTCGAATATAGATCAATGACGATTGTTCAAGTATGTACGGAGCTGGAGCTAGATCGATCAAAAAGAAACAAATAACACATAGTTCCAAAAAAAATGTTCTGTATCTGGTAGGAGAAAAATTGTTTGTCTCACTGCTAGTGGGTGGCGGCTTCGTAGCTCGTCCGCCCTCCTTTAAGCGGGCCTAGCAAAAGCTACAGATGGCGCCAGTATCCGCCCGCCACAGATCAAAAGATTTCAAAGGACAACACCGGGGAGCGTGTCGGCACGACATCCAAACTGCGGTGAATGACAGACGCTCATAAGAAACAATCACTCATTAATCTTTAGCCCTTGGGCATTAATGCCGGAACCGGGACAAACTGGTCATGGAAAGTGCACAGATGAGCGATACATTAATAATGTGCTGTGTGATTTTGGACAGCTGGATTGACAAGTGGCCAAAGAGCCAGCTGGCATGCTTGCACATGAAAACAGAAAAAAAAAAAAAGAAAGAAAGCTCCTGATGTTTCCACTGTGTTTTTCCTGCATAACAAATTTGAAGGTAGCTCACTCCACCAAATTTTGGGCTACCTCTGGCTCTGAAAGCTCCAACATCATGAAGACCGTCATTGTCTGACCAGCAGTGCACTCGTGTCATTATTTTTAACCGGTAATTGTGGAACTAGTGTTGTGTATTCGATTTTGCTGGGGGAAAAAAAGTATCTTACAAGAATGGTGCATCTTGCCTTTTTCCAACTTTTCCGAGAATTGTCATAAAGGAAGCATGTCGTTTTCAAGGTGAGTTGTCAACAAGTGTTTTAAGAAAAAAAAAAATGAAGACACAAAATGCTTAAGAACAATTCACTGCAAAAACTAAACTTGAAACAAGATGAGACATCTGAAATCAAGGCAAAAACATGTTTCCACTTGGTCGTCATTTTATTTCTTCATCGGGCACCTTGAGTGTAAGAGCATTTTGATCCTTCAAATCCTTTCATAAAAAAAGAAATGTTTGCTTTGATCATAAAGTTGATCAGCGTCATGGGGAAAATAAATAAATCAACAAAAATCACAAATAAACCACACAAATGCACAACGGCAATAACCTGGTCCTGTTGGGGGGTCTACTTGCGTCTGTTTTGGGGGGGGGGGGGGCAAGCTGAACATCACAAGGAGGAGGACTTTGATGGCAAGAAGAAAGACCAAAGGAGAGATTTTTTTTTTTTTTTTTTTTTTTTTTTTGCTCGTACATTTTTCATTTCATGGGACTTTAAGTTTAATACTCTGAATTTTCTGTCAGCAGGGCAACTGCGTGCTTGTCACCCCAAAGTGTCGTCGTCATTCAAGAGAGGTTGTGACGATCACACAGCCCGGACACAGTAAATTGGTCACTCGCTGAAGGCACATACTCTCACTCTGTACTTGTGCGCGCCGCTGCATTTCATCATGTGCTGCAAGCCCAACTTGTCCAAGTCAAGTTTTGGGTCTCCTGCTTGCTAGCAAGCTCCACAATAAAATCGAGCCCGTAGCGACAAGGCCAGCCGGCAAGCTGAGGTTTGGTAGCTGCCGCTGAGCTAAGTACGTTTTGACTGCAGTCCGCTGGTGAGCTGCATTCACATTCCAGTGTATCAGACCCACAATCTGATGTTTATCGTTTTAAAATGACATTTTGGTTTCAGTGTTTTAAATCCGCAGAAGGTCCAAACTTGTTCGTTTGGAGCGTTGGTGTGTGTTCTCTTGGCAAAAGGTTACCACCAAAGTCATAATAGCTCCAAGGATGCGCCCCAGATTGGTCTCAACCAATGCTTGGTCTCAAGCATTGGCCCAATTCGAACCACTGGAAAAGTGAACATCATTTCTGTTCTTTGCCAACTTTTGGCAACTGCATTTGCATTCCTGCAGTGAGATTTGCAGGGTGAGAATGCCCGGACACAAATAAGACACAGGAACAACGGATTGCGCTCTGGGAGAAAAGAGAGGCAAATGTTCACAAAGTTTGACACCTCCAGGGGCCTACAGGAGTGTGTGTGTTCAAACTTCACGAGTGATGGCATTGAAAAAATATGTCATAAATAAAAGCGATTCATCTGACGAAATTCTCAGGAGACAGATGGTGTGGCTCTCTCACGCAGCAGTGCCCGATGCATATATTTCCATGCTAAAGCCATCATTTAAAACGTAACATCGTCAAAATATGCGCTGCGTCAAAAGTAGAGTCGAATAATGTAAATAGATTTTACCGGAGGCTCAAATAACAACAACAACAACAACAACAACAGCGCGCTCCAACACAGGCTCGTTGTCTGCGGTGGTGAACTCGACAAGAGGCAAATGTGTTGTTTATTTAGTCCAGGAAGTGCAAATAAGTATTATTTTCATCATTAATTATTTCGACTGAAGAACGTTTTGAAGTCACTTTTGATGTACCTAACAGCCTGTTGCTGGCTGATAATAGGACAAAAAAAACATATCGTCTCTGTCGGATGTAAACCTCGTATACCCACATATGGTCAATTACAGTTTGTTTTTGTTTTTTAGTTTCCACTAATCAATACTATTGATTTGTAACCTCATCGTCTGTTCTATTTACGCATATTTTTTGATAACTGTACTATCCTACACTGAAAAGAAAAAGTAATGTACTTGATTATTGGTTGCACAGGACTAAAACGTATTGAACTAACACTTATTTGTTTTTTGGGTCGTTTTTGTTTGAGGAAAACACGGGAAAATTACGGTTGACCACATTTTGATCACGTGCAAACGATATACATGTTTGGATTAAGTAAATTCAAGGTATTCAAGTATATGTCTAAAAACTAAAAGCGTTTCTCAGTAAAAACAGAGGCCATTCATTTTTTGTATTGTGTCATGTATTCTTCGGATGGATCAAGTTTCTGGTACCTGCCCACCCCAAAAATTCTAGTGCTGTAGCGAGAAGCCTGCCAATACAACGGCCCGGTCCACGATGACTTCCAAACATCTTCCGAGAGTGCTCCTTCTTTCAGAAGCCTGACATCTTTTTACTGGTGTTTAATGGGGTTGGAGCGCGGGTGACAGCAAAGGCCACCTAACACGCGCTCATCATTTTCTTACTCAGCCTCCTGACCTCTGAATGTGGACGCCTTTTTTTTTTTTTTTTTTTTTTTTAAACTTCAGGTCTCTGTCATCAATCTTGAACACTGCAGTATAGCATCAAAGGACAATGCCAACCCAGTTTAACCGGCTTGTTGATTCCTCCATTTGTACTGCTTAAAAAAACCATTATCAATTCATTTTATTTATTTGCCACCACCGTCAACATATTAAATGTTCCAAATAAAACTCTTTTCAGAAAGTCCAAAACAGCACCTGGAGTCCAATAAATGTAGTTTGTAAGGCTACTACTAGCTAATGCTAGCTAGCTAAAAGTAGTACAATTTTTGCTTAATTTTTTTTTTTAAGTTTAAGTACAATAAGCTCACATGTTGTATGATGCATTAATTTTCCCAAAACTGAAGTTTGACATTACAGATAAATAATAGCCCACTTTTTTTATCAAGTCACAGTGAAATATTTATTGCACGTCACCAAAAAGGATTTCAATTTTTTTTGTAATATTATTGTGGTCGATTGATTACTCAAATTTTAGTGTGTACCCTGAAACATATATTGTACATACATTCACTATTTGTTTACATTGCGACGTCAACATTAACTTGCACTGGTTAAAGGCGAGGGGCGCGGAATCAGGATATAAATGGTGCTAAACCATGTAAAAAATAAGCTTGCTATTGTCGCTTAAATACATGCATGCCAATTTGGGGAAGTTTTTCTTCTCCGACACTTGCCGTCTCTCAAGAGTGTCACTAGAAGATGATGCAGCGGACATGCAGAAGTGTCATTCACACCATTTGCTGTCTAAATATAGCCTGGGCCATTTGTGAAAGACAGAGAGAGAGACGGAGGGAGGTGTGTGACAAAAAAACGGAAGCGCTCTCTCGTTTGGATCTCTTTTGGCGACACCTCAAGCCCACGGGGGCCTCAAAAATAACAGCCTCTGATTGGATGACTGACAGCCGTAGTACTTGTGCGCCACACCGGTAGAAGAAGGGACGTTGTGAGGTAAAAGGGGAGACAGAGAGCATGAAGGGGAAGATGGAGAAGGTGAAGGGATTTATGGCG